TAAAATATATATTATACACACATATAATACAATAAAAAGGTAGACCAACACTTGAAGTTTCACGACAAAACTGTTTTTTAGTACTCTATAACAAAAAACTGGTTACAAATCGTTCACCTTAGCCCTGTGAATCCGCCCATCTATATCCAAGCCGGTTTTCTTGTAGATTTCAAAAATCTGTTCTTCAGGAACAAAGTAGTGAGCATCACCGAATACACTCTGCTTCAGACGAAAGCCTTCCTGGAAACAAATGTAAAAAAAAAAATCACATCTATATATTATTAGTAGGTATGAACCTCTACTATGTCCACTTTACTGTTCATTAATGTTATTCTGCTATCAATCAATTGAGTCGTACCTTCCTTCCTCCATTGCTTCTTATCTTGCTTCCAGAGGCGAGGTTAATTCAATTGGTATTACTCAGGGCTAGAGTGTATAATTTTGATTTAAGTTCACGCTATGATTTTTTATATATATGTTATTTTTTGGAAAGGGGGGAATTCATGAACTATGGTCGTTTTGGTTTTTGTTTGTATGGGGTTTTTTGGGGGTGAGATGGGGGTTCAGGGTTCCCTCTGTTTGGCGCAGTCCTTGGGGACATAAAAGTCAAGGTCAAGGTTTCGAAACAATCTTACAGTCTTTTATTGAAGGTATGTTTACGATACCATCGACATAATACCCGGAATACCTGGAAGTGTCATCTCTGACTCAAAGGTTTACGTGTAATGACCCTCCACCATCCACCTTCGTGAGCTGCTGTGGCACATTGTGCAAAACTCAGGCCAGTCTATGTTTTAATGTTATCCATCCCTGTTACTCTTTGTCTACCCGTGGCTCTCCTGCCCGACATCCTTCTTTCAAGCACCTCTTTCACAATGGTCTGAATTTCTACATTTTATTTTGTTTAGCAGGGTTTAGCTTGTGTGGAGAATTTTACACATCTCATTGTTAATCTTTTTTGCTTTCCAGCTTATTCTGGACATTCTGCGGTATCATCACAACTCAAAAGCAGGGACTTTGTTTTCTCCCTTCTTTGTTAAAGTCCAGGTCTCAGCGCCATATATAGAAATATATGAGGAAGATGTAGCATTCCGATATTTTCTTTCTAAAGGAAGAGATAACTGCCAGCCACAATGCAGGTCATTTAAGCGGCACGCTTTAACCATGCTGTCAAGGCCAACTCCTGCTGAGAGGGATACAGCGTCCCAGAAGTAAGATAGTGACAATCGAAAAAAATTCTCCTCATGCAGGAACTGAACTCTAGTCTTCCACGACGTGCTATGGTGACGTGCCTAACCGTTACACCAACCACAGACGTCGATTTACAACGCTGCAAAGGGTGTTGAACCCATGACGTGCCCCACAACTCCCATTTATCGATTGAACTGGACAACAGTCGCCGAGTCAACAAAAAAAACCTCTAAAACACCACTGTGTTTCATTCCCACATTTGGAATGACCTATATCTTCTGCATACTGTTGAAATGTACTAAGCCCAGAAAGCCGAACTTTTCAAACAATTGTACCTGTGTTATGTATTTTTTCTCGCTTTTTTCAACAGTCAGATATCAAATTATATCAAATTTTAAAAAAATTGCTTCGTACGTTTGAACAGATGGCGGAAGATGTGTATCTAAGTTGACTGGTTGTAAATTTTAATGTTTTACTCCCAAGTCGATAAATTAAGATTATTTAGGAGGCTATCTGTTTCAGCCCTTCTCGTAAGGGTGAGTGAAACACAGCATACCAACAGAGAAAACGGGGTCATTGGCTTAAATGAACCTCTCCACGTAGAAATAGAACTCGTGTTATTTTGCGTGAAGCAGCGGAGAACCTTAGCATTGATTAAACCACAGACGTGTTGACCTCATACAAAAATGAAACAAAATAAAGAGAGAAATTAAAGTTTACCAAATAAGAACTCTGCATGTTATGCATGAAGCGCGTTGGCAAGTAGGTGCAGTCTGGAAGGGTCCGATTATGAGACAATATCAGGTCATGGATGATCGTATCCAATTGATGGCTTGTAGAGCCACAGATGGGACGGGTGACTTCTTCACACCTCGCAGCATTCAGTATCTGGAAACAAACGGCAAACAGTTGGATGCACCAAGCCTACTCGTAATTGGCCAAACCAGGGTTTGCTTTTTTGGTTAGACTTACTAACTATGATATTATTATGGATAGGATGGGAAAAGGGCTTTTTAGGAACATTATTGTTAAGAAAAGATATGCGATCAACGGGTAGTAAATATTTTAATTGTTCATAGTTCATTGACTACTGTTTTGGTTAAATGCAGGATTATTTTTCTTATTAAATTTGTTTACAGTTTCCCACAGGGTCATTAAAATGAGTATGGTTTGAATTATCTAGGCAGGGAGCGTAACACCACAAAACAATAAGTAAAGTAGCCGAAGATAGATTATTTTTCTCTTTGATAGTTACATTTCAAGCATGCAATATCAGAATACCATTGAGTTACAATCAGAATACAGAGTACGTATCTAGCTCAACACTATTAATCTTTACAATTAATGGTCACTTATATTATGCCTGTGACTGTAAGCCTGCTTGTGAGTACAAGCATACTGTTGTATTATTGTGGTTATGTGCACATACGTGTGTGAAGAAGAGGGTCTATGAGTGTGTGTGTGTGTGTGTGTGTGTGTGTGTGTGAGAGAGAGAGAGAGAGAGAGAGTGTGTGTGTGTGGATGTGTGTGT